GGGACACCGCGGGCCACCGGCCGCCGGAGAAGGAACATTTGGTCCAGCCGCGGCCCAGCCACAGGAGGATTTCCCCTCGCCCGCCCACGCAGCTTCGCCTCGCCCGCACGCACGCACGGCACGCACGACACGAACCCGAAACAGAAGTCGATTTCCCGGTGGGGTCTCCGTTTCACGTCGGACTCATCCCACAATCTCCGATGTGTATGTATGTGTGAGTGTACCTATATATGTATGCAAGTTTGCATACGTGTATGCACCTCTGCCTATGTGTGCATGCATGTATGTATGTATGTATGGATGCATGCATGCATGCATGCATGCATGCATGCGTGTATGTATGTATGTGTGTGTTCAGGTGTGTGTGCACTTATGTATGTATGTATGTATGTATGTATGTGTGTATGTATGTATGCATGTATGCATGCATGTATGAATGAATGAATGTATGTATGTATGTATGTATGTATGTATGTATGTATGGATGTATGTATGTATGTGTGTACGTATGTGTGCATGTGCGCATGTATGTATGTATGTATGGATGGATGGATTGATGTATGGATGTATGGATGTATGAGTGTATGGATGTATGGATGGATGGATGAATGTATGGATGTATGTATGTATACGAATAGATGGATATATGGATGTTTGGATGTACGCACGCATGTGTATGTGCATGCATGCATGTATGTACGTATGCATGTATGGTTGGATGCATGTATGTATGTACGCATGTCAAAAATTATGTATGTATACCGGCAGGTAGGCAGACAGGCAGACAGTCAGGTAGGTAGGTAGGTCGGTAAATCGGTATGAATGTACGTATGTATGTATGTAGGTGCGTATGTATGTAAGTATGTATGTATGTAAGTAAGTATGTATGTATGTATGGATGAATGGATGGATGGATGTATATGTGTATGTATATGTATCTAATGGCCTTCGGCCCATCCACCACTATGCCAGGGTTGTGGGTCAGAGTTATCAGGGATGCTTTCTGGTTTCTCTTCGGAGCGCCTTCGGGGGCCTCTTGTCCAAGAGATTCGCTAGCGTGACTTGTTCAACGCGGGGTCCCTGGAGTGGGCCCGAAGTCCGAAGACCTTCCATGGGCCCAGTGTTTCGTCGTAAATGTTTGACGGTCCCGGGCCCCGTTTCGGGCCTCAGGAAGCGAAGAGTGGTCCAGAAGCTTTGGGAGCGGGAAGAGTACCTGAGGGCGTCTGGTCAGGGGGCTGTTGGGGGGCCTCTAAGGAGCTTCTTGAAGGTTTTTGGCGGGTTTCTAGGGGGCGTTTTGGGGGCCTCCTTGGGACATCTGGGGGCCGAGGGCTTGAAATGTTCGTAGGGCATCCTCTCTGGGCCCCTGCTTGGCGCCGTCCTGGGTCCCTCTTGGGCCGTCTTGGGCACCTCTTGAGCTAGCCAGGGGCCCTTTTGGGTTGTTTTGGAACCCTCTTGGGCTGTCTTGAGGCGATCCTGGCGGCCTCTCGGGCCGTCTTCGTCCCCCTGGAAGGTCAAGAGGCTAATCCGTGAAAAATGCACGTTTTCCGACAAAGGAACGGGGCCCTTTTTGCCTCTTGGGGCCCTCTTGGGAGGGCTTTTGGGGCCCTCTTGGGCTGTCTCGGGGGCTCCCAGGAGCCCTCTTGGAGCCATCGTCGGCGTCTTCAAGGCTTGTGCGCCCTCTTGATCTGCACCGGGGCGTCTGGCGCCCTCGGGAGCTGTCCCCGGGGGCGGCCCAGAGGCCCGGGTACCCCCATGCCCCGTCGGGGTCGCGGTGCCGGGCCACCGGGCCTCGTGCACGGGGATATATATATATATATATATATATATATATATATATACTAGAACCACGCGCGCGCTACGCGCGCGCTTAGGTTCTAGTACACGATTGAGGCACCGTCGGCGGGCAATTGGCGGACTCCATGACGCTTGTGTGCTATGGGTCGCAGGCCCGCTCGTCGGATGTTGTGTGTACTCTGCGGTGATCAGATATTCTCCTATCCAGGTCCTGCTTTGTGGCACCTAGTGGCTTGTAGTGGCTCTCAGTGATTCCTCCTCCGCGCGCCGTCGATGTACACAAGCACGCCGTTACGCTGTGCGCCCCTCAACCCCAACCACTCGCGCGGGGCCAGCGGACGTGAAGCCGAATGCTGGAGAGCTATACTACTTGCGCCTTCTCCTCCTGCTCGTGACTGGAAAGGGCGTCACGTCATGGATGGCCCTGAAGCGCCACCCTCATCATGTTCCCGGACCGCCTTCCGGGAACATGATGGGGACGACTTCTGAGGGCCTCCAGTGGGCCTCTTGGGGGCCTCTCGGAGGCCTGTTGGGCTCTCCTGGAGGCGTCTTGGGGCGCGCTCAGGGCCATTGTTTGGGCATCTTGGGGGCCTCTATATATGGGGAAGAATTTGAAATACGTGGAAGGAAGTGGCACGACTCGGGAGGGCTTGGGGGAGGGGTATATATATATATATATATATATACACATATACATATATATATATGTGTATATGTGTGTGCGTATGTATATATATGTGTATATATATATATATATATATATCATATATATATAGAGAGGATAGAGAGAGAGAGACCCATACGTAAGACATGTAGGATTGTGTACACAGGAGAAGGACAATCTATAGAAACGTAGTACGTCGTCCAAGGCGCCTCGGAAGGCGCCTCGGAAAGCGCAGAATACTCCTCCAAGGCGCGGAATCATGTTCCCGGACCGCCTTCCGGGAACATGACGGGGACGACCTTCTGAGGGCCTCCAGTGGGCCTCTTGGGGGCCTCTCGGAGGCCTGTATATATATATATATATATATATATATATATATATGTATATATATACCCATACGTAAGACATGTAGGACTGTGTACACAGGAGAAGGACAATCTATATAAACATAGGTACGTCGTCCAAGGCGCCTCGGAAGGCGCCTCGGAAAGCGCAGAATACTCCTCCAAGGCGCGGAATCATGTTCCCGGACCGCCTTCCGGGAACATGATGGGGACGACCTTCTGAGGGCCTCCAGTGGGCCTCTTTGGGGGCCTCTCGGAGGCCTGTTGGGCTCTCCTGGAGGCGTCTTGGGGCGCGCTCAGGGCCATTGTTGGGCATCTTGGGGGCCTCTATATATGGGGAAGAATGTGAAATACGTGGAAGGAAGTGGCACGACTCGGGAGGGCTTGGGGGAGGTATATATATATACACGTATATGGATATATACATATATGTATATATATATATATATATATATATATATATATATATATGTAGACCCATACGTAAGACATGTAGGATTGTGTACACAGGAGAAGGACAATCTATAGAAACGTAGTGCGTCGTCCAAGGCGCCTCGGAAGGCGCCTCGGAAAGCGCAGAATACTCCTCCAAGGCGCGGAATCATGTTCCCGGACCGCCTTCCGGGAACATGACGGGGACGACCTTCTGAGGGCCTCCAGTGGGCCTCTTGGGGGCCTCTCGGAGGCCTGTGGGGCTCTCCTGGAGGCGTCTTGGGGCGCGCTGAGGGCCATTTTTGGGCCTCTTGGGGGCTTCTGGGGGCCTTCGGGGAGGCTCTTGGGGGCCTCTTTGGGCCTCTTGGGGCCTCGCGGGGCCCTCTTGGGGACCGCTGGGCTCGCTTAGGCAGTCTTGAAGCCCTGTCGGGGCACTCCTGGAACCGTCTTGGGCGGCTCCTGGGCCATCTTGGGGCTCTCCTGGGCCGTCTTGGGACGATTTTGGGGGTCTCTTGGGCCGTCTTGGGGCGGTCTTGGGGGCCTCTTCGGCAGTCTTGAAGCGGTTTTGGGAGACTCTTGGGCGGCCTTGGAGCGTCGGAACCCCGAAAAAGCGAGAAGGCCAAAAACCTCGAAAAAAACTATACAAATCAACGATTTTGGCTTGTCGGGGCTCTCTTGGGAGGCCTCTTGGGATGCCTTCGGGGCCTCATGGAGCTCTCTTGGAACGTCTTCGGGCCTTCCTGGCCATTCCTGAGGCTATCTATGCGCGTCTTGGAGCGCTCGCGGGCCGTCTTGGGCGGTCTCGAACTGTTCCTGGCGGTCCCAGGGGCCCTCCGGGACGCTTCGGACGCTCCCAGGGCGCCCTGCACACCCCATGGAGATGACAGGCACCGCCCCGGGCCCCTACTCCGATATATATATATATATATATATATATATATATATATATATATCACACACATATATATATATATATATATATATATATATATGGTGGCCCCCCCACATGATCATACACGTGCCCCTCATATGTCATCATACCTCTCCCTGCCTCTGTTTTTTTCCCGTTGTTCCTCTCTCTTCTTTCTCCTCCCCCTGCCCCCCCCTCTCCTCCTCCCCCTCCCCCTGCTCCTCCGACTCCAGCGCGACAGGTCTTCCCCCCAGAGGAAGACGGCATTGAAAAAAACAAAAAAAAAAAAAATGATTACCCCCCCACAACAAAAAACGCTGAGACTGGACAAACGCCAAAAACACATGGAAAACAAAAATGAACAAACCAAAAAACAAAACAACAACAAAAACAACTATACATACGCCACCCCCGCGGCCGTAACCGAGAGAGCCTCCCAATCTTTGTTTGTTATAGTGTTTGGGTATTGTTCCATTTGTTGTTGGAGCTTTCCCGTCTTAAGGCTTTGGTGTCTTTGTTATGTTTGGTTGTTCCTTGTGTTTTTTTGGTTGTTCAACGTCGCGCTGGACTGTGACTGGCCCGGGGCACATCTCAATGCACCCGACGCTTATGTTTAAAAGAAGTTGAGCAGAAGCGGTGAGCATGCTCGCATCATGGGTGTTCATAATGCGCGCAGACGGCTCTTCCGGGGCACATCCTGGGCCCGAGGCGACAGCGCGCCTGCGGGCGCGGGCGCGCGCAGCCGCCCGTCCACTCGAAGCTGAGGAAAGACGCGGCGGCCTCCTCCTCCCCTGCAGATGGCGTTCGCAGGAGGCGCAACCACGCCGCTCTCGCCCAAGGCCCGCGAGAGATCCACCTCCAGCTCGCCGCGGGGTGGGGCAGCAGCCGCAGATGCCGAAGACGCCCCCAGTGGCCTGCCGCTTCGCTGGGGGCGGGGAGCTGTCGACGTCGATCGTGCCAGACAGGGCAGCCAAGCTCCTGAACCCCCGTGTCTCTGGAAATGTGGGATCTTCCTTCACGGCGCGCGCCTGAGCAGCAGTCGCCGTGGCTCTGGCCCTGAAGGCGTTCTCCACAAAGGTCTGCTCATTCTGCAGCAGCGCGTCCTGGTTCGGAGGCGGCGCGAGGTCCCCCGCCTTGAACAGGCCGTAGAGTCGCTTGCTCTCCGTCGCCAAGTACTCGTCCAAGCCGCAGATCGACTTGCGCTGGACGTCGGTCTCCTCAGCCCCTGGGGCGCGCCAGCGCGCGTGGGCCTTAGTGTTCGCGAAGAAGCCCCCCCGCTTAATGAATGCCATCACGCAAGCGCGAGTAGCCTTCTCGTGAAAGGCTGGCCTGGCGAGGTCGAAGAAGTCCTGGAACTCGACGGACGGCCAGCAGTCATTCTTCACTGCCTCTGGGTCGTACACCTGGTCTGCAATGGCGCGCGGCTCGCCCTCCACCCACTTGTCGCCCCCCACCGCGCCCAGCGCATGGACTCGAACTGGAAGACGCCCACCAAGGCCTCGACCATTTTCGACGGCAGCTGGTTGAGGGAACCACCATCCAAGAAGTCGTCCATGGTGAGAGAACCAGGCCCCCCGCGCGGGAAGTCGATCTCGGGCGCCACGCGGACGCGCACAGATTCGGAGCCCAACTCGTCGATGCGGGCGTTGCGGCGGCAGGGCGCGAAGAGGCACGACCGCCCCAGGGGCGTCTTTCCGAAATTCGTCTCGCCAATGAGCACGAGGGGCCCGAGGGGGTCCATGATTTCTGCCATGACGTCGAGCACCCGCGGCTTGAAGTGTTCCTCCGTCAGGGCGATGTGCCACTCGGTCTCCTTGTTCGCGAGCGAACCCTCCGCTGCGAGCCCGCTCAGCGCCTTCGCCGCCAGGGCAATGAGGGCCAGCCGTGGAGGGGGGCGCCGTTGCGCAGCGCCTTCGTCTGCCAGGCCAACTGTTCGAGGTCGGCCGTGCAGCGGGGCGCGTTCTTCAGGATGCACTCGCAGCCAGCGATGGTTGCGTCGCCCGACGACTCGTAGAACTCGTTAACCCCGGCATTCGCCTTGACGTCTGGCGACAAGAAAAACGCACGAAACTGCTTCCCGCCAAAGCGCTCAAAGGCGCACTGCCACAACTTGACCCCCACCTGCAGCACCAAAGAAAAAGCAGCGAGGGCACGGCGGCGACCATGCCAGGTTGTCCGTTTCCCTAGGCGGTAGAGAGCTTGCAAAAGAATGCCGCCGCGCCCTCGCCATCTTTTTTTCGAGGCCTTGCACATCGGGGCGCTGGAAGCAGAGCTTCTTGACGCTGCCGAAAGCCATGCTGGCGAAGATGGCCGTCTTCGTCTCGTTGGGGATGATGCAGCGCCTGATGATGGCATTCGAGCCGTCGGGGCCGTCGAAGATACAGATCTGGACGGCCACGTGGCTCGGCGGCGCCGTCTTGAAGCCGAACGGGGGCGACAACTTGCGGCGCTCGCCATCCCCCCACGCCGCCTTGTACAGCTCGTCAAGCTCGGGGGGGATCGGGCCCGCATGCCCAATCATAAAGCCGATGCAATGGACAAGCGGGTTCTCGTTGTCCCCGACGTCGTTGGCGACCTCGAGAAATGGTGCTAGCTCGCCTTTCGGCAGCACGGCCGTCACCATGCTTGGGCAGAAGGCGGCAGATCCAGCCCATCGGTCGCCGCCCTGAGGCACTCGCACGCGGACATGGCACGGTCTTGAACGGCGCTGCAGGTTTACCAGAACGCGCGCGCCCGGCGATGCGATTGAGCCCAAACAGCTGCGAGCTGGATGGCGTCGCAAAAAACGGACGCAACTGAGCGGCTTCCCGGCCAGGGGCTCTCGGGGCACCGCAATCCAACGTTGATCCGCCATTGACTGGCACTGTTTTGCAAATCGGCAACGTTAGAGGCGCAAGCGGCTGCGGGGAGCTGACAACTGATAACCTTCAAAACTACGGTCGCGCAGGCCGCGCCCACGCCTCACTGCAGGCGACGGCGCAAACCGCAGAGAACGAAACTTGGGCCCGCGCGCATGGTGGCTCGGCCGCCCGCCGCCCACATCAAAGACCACTGCGCGGTGTGGGGGTAGGCCGAGCGACTGCTGCACAATCCATTCCATCCTGCTCCACGTGGTGGACCAACCTCCGCCGCGTCGTACCAGCGCGGGTAGTCGGTGGAGGTGAGCGCCACGGTACACGCGCGGTCGCGGTCATCGCGGTGGACGCATTCCGCCGCCACTTCGAAGCAGCGGCACTCGCGGACAAGCACGTCGCCTACTGCGGGGTCGCCCGACGCCCACAGCGGGCCCGCGAAGCCCGGCGCCACGAAGGGAATCGCACTCTTCTGGAATTTAAAGTAGTTGGGCCAGAAGCACACGATGAACTTGTCCTGGGGCCAACCGAAAATGCACAGCTCACCGCCCCAATGCGAAGTTGGGCGGCTGGGGGCGCAAGTATTAGAAAAGCACCACCAATGTACACGCGACAAAACAAACGCAGGGCCCCCCCTGCCCCTGCCCTCGCCCGCGGCCAAGCGCTGAGACTGCGCAAGTCCAACCTTGCGCCGCGCTGAGTCGGGCGGCATGGGGCTGCCAGGCGCAACGTTCTGGATGAAGGCGTACTCGAAAGCCACGGATTGAGATTTGCTGCGGGCTGGTGGCTGGGCGGGAATGACAAGTCAATCCGAAGGGGCCCGAACGCACTCGCGGCGACGGAGGGCGGGGGGGGCGCGGGCGAGCGGGCGGGCGGCGGCGAGACTGGCGACGACAACGACGCGGCGACGACGGCAACGACTAGGCCCCACATGAGAACAGTCGGGCGCTGTCCGCCCCCTCATTCCCCACAAGCAACAGCATGTGTGGCTTCAACTGCTCTTCGCTAGTCTTAACGTCATGAAGCAAGTCGAAACCAATATGCGCATCTGCGCACCTTGCGCTTGGGCACGCTCGCCATGCCGGCCCAACATACCACCACGCAGAAGGCATTCCAAAGTTAAAACCACCCTCTGCGCAAGCAAGAGTACCCCCACACACACACACACACACACACACACCGCCACACACACACACACACCACCACCACCACCACCACCACCACCACCACCACCACCACCACCACCACCACCACCACCACCCCCACCCACAACCACCGCCGCCACCACCACCACCACCACCACCACCACCACCACCCCAACCCCACCCCACCCCACCCCACCACCACCACCACACCCAGAACACGCCGCTCATCTCCGCGCAGAGCATGCCGAAACCGCCTCAGCACGCCGAGTCCATGACCTCCCAAATAGCGCCCGCGGTCGCCGCCCACAAGTCCTGGCCCCTGTTCCAATGCTCGAACTGTGCCGAGCGAACAGAAGCCGCGAGCTGCCTGCCGCCTGGAAAGTCTGCGCGCGTGCCGATGAGACTCTTGATGAACCTCCATGCGCGGTCTATGATTTGGGCCCCCGCGTTCACCATGATTGCGGAGCCGGCAGGCAACTTGTGGGCGACCACCATCGAGTAGATGGGCTTCAGCCACACCCGCTTCCCGCCGATCTTCTTCCGCTTCTCGCAATGCACCACGTCGTTGCGCACGACGCTCGTCGCGCGCATCTTGTAGCTGCGGGCTCCATCAGAGTGCAGGATCACCTCCCTGTTCTCCAGGCGGTCCTTCAGGAACGGCGCCCAGTCGCTCTTCCTGATGGCGCGCGGGCCTGGCGCGCTGGCTTCGGCGCTGCCAGCCCGGGCCCCCCGCGGCACGAGGCCCCCGGGGCGCCCGCGCTCAACGACGCCGACCCATTGCCCCCACGTCTTGGAAAGGCCGCCATCGGAGACCTGGGCGCGGAAGACCGCCTCGGCCGCCCCAGCGTCGAACCAGCGCCGCTGGCCGCTGTCGCCGAAGACAACGCCCCTCTCTTTCTTCTCGACGTAGATCTCCCGCGCGGCCGCCATGGCACCGCTCGCGCCCTCGCCCACCTCGCGGCCCACCCCTGTCAGCAAGTGCATCTGGGCGGCGGCCAGGCCGAGCGAGAGGCAGAAGAGGACCTGTGCCTTCGTCGACAGACTTGACGACTGGCAGCCGCCGCCAGACTTGAAGACGGGGCGGGCAGCGCACGGGCGGGCGGTCTTGCCGCGCAGCCTGCCGCTGTTGCACCGCCAATGCGGACCGCGAGTGGCGCCCCCCACCCGCGCGCCCAAGGCCCCGACGGCGCAGCGCGGGCAGGCGCGGCCCTCCCAGCCAAGCACAACGCCGTCCTCGACGAGCACGCCTACCATCTGGTCCGCAGTTCTCCCGTGGAAGCTGTCGTAGGTGCGGGGCCACGCCTCGCGCCCCTTGCGCAATTTCTCCGTCTTCTAGCCGCGGCGGACATGCTCGACCTTCTTCTGCTGAGTCTTCCGGCGTTGGCCCATCCTGTCTTTGCCCCTCTGGCGCACATGAAACGGCCAGAACGCTCCCGCCGGCCGCTTCTTCGGCTCGGGGGCGGCGGCGGGGCGCTTGATCTCGCTCTTCCCCGTCGCCGACTGGGGCAGGCTGGTGGCCATGACGGTCGGCCCAGCAAATGCGCACTGAGCGAAAATAAACTGCGGGCGCGCCTTGAAGCCGGCGTGCACAGAGCCAAAATAGGCCGCGAGGGCGGCGGCATCGCTGTCGATGGATGGGCGAGGGCATCCATTTTTTCGGACGCCCTCTATCCCTGTAGGGGAGTCAGCTGCTTTTCTGTTTGCCGCCGTTGGTGCGATGTTGCTGCGTTAATCGCTGTTTCAATCAGACGTTGCCCTAGTTGTTTCTGTCGTGGCGGCATCGCTTGCGATGCGTGGATGAGGGTATCCAATTTTCCAGATGCCCATTGTCACTTCAGGGGACTCAGCTGTTGTCTGTTTGCCGCCGTTGGTGTGACGTTGCTGCGTTATGTCGCCGTTACGTCGGCTGTTCCCGTTCTTACTTCCGCGGTCGTATTGTTTCTGATTGTCGATTGTCGGCGTCGCGGTCGTTGCTGTTCTTGCTTCTCTGTTTGCCGCCGTCGGCGCGCTGCTGTGGCGACGCATCGGTGTTCCCGTCGGACGGCTGCGTCGTTGTCCCTGGTGCGCTGTTGCTCCTGGTCGCCTGTTTCGCCGTATGTTTGCCGCTGTCGGCGTGCTGTCGGCGCGTTGTGTCGTTGTCCCTGCTGGTTGTCTGCGTGGCTGTTTCTGCTGCGTTGCTGTTTCTGATATGACCTTGCGTCGGTGTCGGCGTTGTTGTTTCCGCGCGCCGCCCCTTTCCGCGTCTGGCGGGGTCGCGGCCCCCTCCCCCCCCCCGGGCCCGTCCCTGCGCGCCGTCGCCGCTCCCTCTCCCTTCCCCAGCCGCCCTCGCCAGCCCCAGCTCGCTCGGGCGGCGGGGTTGTTTTTCTCGCCGCGCGCTGGCGTCGGCGGCAGGGTGGGCAGAGCGCCCCTGCCTACTGCCCGCAGCAGTATCCAGTGCGGCACTCCGGCGGGCGCTTCTCCCAGAGCCACATCTCCACGGCGACCCAGACGGGCAGGCGGCCCACGACCGCGCAGGAGAAGGGCACCCACCACTCCCCCCACGCCCAGAGGCGCTTCTCCGCGGCGGCCAGCGCGCCCCGAGGACCAACTGGAGGAGCGGACAGAAAGGGCCGCAAGGCAGCAGCAAAGCGCAGCAAGGCCGCAGCAGGGCAGCAGGTCCTCGGCCTTCCGTCGCCGCCCGTTCCTCCAGGCGGTCCCCCGTTTCTGCTCGGCGAGCAGTGTCTTCTGGTCGCGGAGGGAGTCGTTGGCCTGCTCCAGCTGGCCCTATGGAATTTACACCAGATTGCGCGCGCGGGGGGCCAATAGGGCATCCGCAGAGCGCAGCAGAGAAGCAGCAGGGCGCAGCAGGGCAGCAGCAGGGCAGCACCGGGGTAGCAGCGAGGCAGCAGCAGAGCAGCCGCAGAGCACCAGTAGCGCAGCAGCAGGGCGCAGCAGCAGGTGTTGAAGGAAAGCGCAGCAGGGCGGTGGAGTTTGATATGCGCCTATGTCCTTGGTGTTCAAGAGCATAGTGTGGATGCCGTTCCGCTGCTTCGCCGCCCTGTTTTTCTGCCGCGGGGCCTCGGCCACAGCCTTGCCCACGGTCTTGTCAAACCGAGCTTTCGCACGACGTTTGGCTTCCTTCGCCTTTAGCGTTTTGATGTGTTTGTTTGTATGTGTAGTTGGCTTCGAGTTTGCGGTGGCATTCGGTCCTGCGGCGCCAGCGGCGCTTCAGGGGGCGTGTTGGACCCCGATGGGAAAAAATCAACACTGAATCAATGAAGGTGGCATGAACGATAACTGGAATCGCTCATCTAACCTAGCTCCGTATCCTCTTTCTGCTCATCATCCTTGCTCAGCGTGTTCAGTTCCTCATCCTCTGCAGTCTTCCTCAGCATCATCGTCGTCATCGTCATCATCAACATCACCATCGTCATCATCATCATCATCATCATCATCATCATCATCATCATCCTCCTCCTCCTCATCATCATCATCATCATCATCATCATCATCATCATCATCATCATCATCATCAGCATCATCATCATCATCATCGTCATCAGCATCATCAGCATCCTCGTAATCATCGTCGGGAATGCACTCGTCTTATCTAGCTCCTCTTCCTCGTCGTTCATAGCATCGAGTTCTTCATTCTCCTGAACCCCCTCCTCCTCATCATCATCCCCCTCCTGAGGGTACAGAGGGACTGGGATCCAGCGCGAGAGAATACTAAAAAGCGTGGCGCCCTCAGCCCGAGGTTGCAGTGCCCCGCCGCCGCCCTCAGCCCGAGGTTGCACTGCCCCGCCTATGAATGGATGGATGGCACGCTCATCAAAGCAGTGACTGAAAGTAAGCTTGCAAGCCAGAGAAAAACTTACGTCGATCACTCGGTCGTTTTGTCCTTGCCGCCCAAGGCGAGCAGCAGCTGACGGGACAGGCCCCAAAGCACCCCGCTGAAGGATAAGAAGATGAGGAAGTGCGACGGAGAGCGGGGAGCAGGTGAGGGAGTGGAGAACATGTATGATCATGTGGGGGGGGCAAGCATATATATATATATATATATATATATATATATATACATCGGTGAGTGTATGTCGTTATGGTTTCTTCGATCCTCGGCGTCGTCGTCTCCGAGGCACTTGCGGGCCTTCATCGCCCGCGCGAGGGTGCGCTGTAGGGCGCGGCGCTGCGTCCTCGTCTTGGGAGCGAAGGCGGCCTCCTCGAGGCAGCCACGGGCAGGGAAAGGGGGTCCTGGTGGAAGCAGTCCCCCTTGGGGCTGCAGAAGGGCATACATCCTAATTACTGTGCGCCCCCTTGGAGAGGGGCACGTCCAGACCAAGCACATGCAGTGCGGGCACGGCCGCAAGAAACCCAGGCTCGGAAACCCGCGTGCGAGATGCACAGTGCACACGGCGGTGAGCCCAGAGCGCCCCGAACGCAGCAGCTTCCTCAACGCCGCCAGGCGTCACCGCGCGGCGCGCGGAGCGAAGAAACCCAGGGCATACCACGACGAAAGTCACATGGCCTCTGGACGCAAGTCCCCACTGTAGCACAAGCATCTTATAGCACCTATCGTTCCCCCAGCGGCGCTGCCAGAAGATGCCCGCCACAGGACATGTACCGTGGAATGCTCTCGGAGCGCGCGCGTCGCCCCTCGGGGGCAGACCTACACATAGTATCACGTTGCTCCCATCGTACCCCAAGGACCACATCCCAGAAATAGTTTCGAGCACCCAGACAAGTGTCGAAACAGTGTCGAGCGCGCCTCGCCTCCCAGGACCCGACACGTGAAAGCCCTCAAGATTCGGTATCTTCCTGGTGCTCGAATTTAAATCTGGTGGTCGAGGCTAAATCGGCGGTGGACAAACCTGCCTGTGGTAAACCTTCCCTTAGTGAAAACGACCTAGGGCCGAAATCGACGGACCTGGACCCGCAAAAATGACGACCGCCACGCCCTCTCGCGAACCGAAAAAGGCCAATTCCTTAATCGACGTGTCAGGGTAGGAGGTCTGTCCACCTCCGACTAAAGTAGGTTGGAGCATCATAAACATAGTACATAAGTACGCTTGGGGAATGCCGACCCTGGGCCCTGGGGCCCTCCTCGAGGCTCCTCCTCCCCCTCCTTCCCCCTCCCTCCTCCTCCCTCCTCCTCCTCCTCCTCCCTCCTCCTCCTCCTCCTCCCCTCCTCCTCCTCCTCCTCCTCCTCCCCCTCCTCCTCCTCCTCCCTCCTCCCCCTCCTCCTCCTCCTCCCCTCCTCCTCCCCCTCCTCCTCCTCCTCCTCCTCCTCCTCCTCCTCCTCCTCCTCCTCCTCCTCCTCCTCCTCCTCCCCCTCCTCCTCCTCCTCCTCCTCCTCAGCCCTCCACCCCAGGCCGCTCCCTTATGAGGAGCAGAAACACAGCCAGGCCGACGCTGGGCTCCAGTCCAAGGGAATTCCTCGAATGCTACCGGAGCCGCCCGAGCACTGACCCGACCCATCAGCCGTGGAACTGCCGCCCCGGGGCCATCACGAGTCAGGTCAGGAGGAGGAGGAGGAGGAGGAGGAGGAGGAGGAGGAGGAGGAGGAGGAGGAGGAGGAGTAGGAGGGGACTCCACCGACCTGAGCGCCGACCAGGCCCTCCTCGGGCCCCGAATCTGCCGGACCGGGGTGCTCACGGGAGGGGCCCCCGAGAGCAGGGGCGACGCGCGCCTCGGGCACCCCGCTCCCCCCCGCTGGGTTCACGCAGCAAGCGGACGCCCTGGACGTGTTGGCTGCGCTGCCCACCTCGGGGAGCTGGCAGATCTGACAGCGCCCCAGCAAGAGCACAACTCGCATTTGCTGCGCGATGTTGTGCCGTCGAGGCCTGATGACGCTCAACCGAATCTGTGTCCAACACGCCGAGCTGAAAACGCTTGCCAAAAACGCCCACGGCGTGCCTGAAATGAACCGAGCCTTCCAGGTTAGAGGCAGCCAGCTGGGGGATCTGAACTGGATGGGCTCCGAGAAAATCGGTCCAGACGGGAGGACAAGAGGACAAAGGGAAATCCATCAGCACCCCGACCCCTTCTAGGGTCCATCTGTTGCGATGTTTCACGCCGGATCCGCTATTGGCGGTCCTGAGGCCCGAAAACGGTCCCTGCAGGCCGAAAAAGGCAAAACACCCTCTCGAACCCACAGCCTTGCACCTTCGGGAGCGGCCAAGAGGGGGGTGTCCAAGAGGGGGGGGTGCAAATCATGACCGGCGGCATGTGCGCGGCCCGGCGGGGGGGCCAGGGACGTAATGAAACAAGAAGAGGCGCCATGAAATCTGGGGAAATATCATGGCCGCCGCCATGAGATTCACCCCCCCCTAGTCATCACCCCCCTCTTTTCCGCCCCCGACACCTGCCCGCCCTCCCAGTTGGCCGGAAACAGTGCTGGGCCACCTCAAACCCCAGCCGACGCCAACCTCCAGGGCCCCGCTTCTGCCGTGGCGCGGCCTGCGCACACCGCCCCCGCCGCACGTCTGCTGCACCGGCGCGGGTCGCAGCGGCTCCGGCCAGGGGCCCGTCGCTATCGGCGGTGTTCATGGCCCGTGGGCTGGCGTGGGACGCATCGAGGGACGCCTCTGGGTGGTTGAAGGGGCCCCAGGACACACAAATAAATACACACAAATAAAAATAATCCCC